CTCACTCTAGGCCTCCTAGGCCGCGGTGTGTGACGCTGTGTTTCGTTGTGAAAGCGAAACTACTTTGTTTGGCCTTCCAAAAATGGACACGACTAGAAATCAGTGGTTAAGTTGTATTTACAACACTGTTCCAGAACAGTTCAACCCAAATATTCAGATGTGTGCAGCGCATTTTATGGAGGACTGTTTACTTATCCTGGTAGAGTAGACTACAATGCCGTCTGTTCTGACTCACAGACTGTAAGTATGTTTTTTTATATTTAAAGGATTTGCCACTGATGATTCAAACGAGTTTTGAGGAGTGGGGAGTAGCGTTTGTTGTTTGTCATTTCTCCGATCACAGATGCAGACATTGTTTTATGTTTACGCGGCGCAATGCAACACAACCCGTAAAAAGACAGTATAAGTCATTATAATCCATAATTATGTCCCCACTGGATGCAACGAATGCCTCGTTTGTAATGGGTTTTCATGTTTTTGAATCATGGCTCAGGCCTGACAGGGCATCATCACAGTAGGCCTATGGTAAGGGGCGTAACATTTCCGTCACACGCTTGAGGTATTCGGCCAATCACAACGCACTGGATAGCTGGCCAATCACAGCACACCTCGCTTTTTCAGACCGATGAGCTTTGTAAAAATCGACGCGTTTCAGAAAGGCGGGGCATAGAGGAGAAACAATAATGTACAGTATGTGGAAAATAATGTGTTTTTTGAACCTTAAACCGCATAAACACATTTCATTACACCAAATACACAAAATAATGTTCTTTTTAGCAGCATCATATGACCCCTTTAAGACTAATTTATACTCGACGCGTCCGCAAGTTCGCTTAGGTGCGCGCAACGTCGTTTCGCGTGGCGGTATGCACGACATTTTTTACGCGCAGCTCCGCTTCCGAAGATGCACGAGTTCAAAGCGACTCGGCATTTGTGTGAAACAGAAGCAGTTTGATGTTTTTTTGCATAGTTTGTCCAAGGCTTTTTAATTGAAGTACGTTTTATTTTTATTGTATTTATTGTATAGAATTTATTTAGATACTATTTATACACTATTTGCTTAAAGTTGTCTTGGTTTTGATGCGAAATAAACACAAAAGCTTAAGCTTATTTTAATCAATTTGTACATAAATAAATTATTAATTAATCAACTCATTCATCACGCGAGAAATCTTGTACCGGCAAATGACTTCTTCTCACCGGTGATTCTCAAATCTGGATGGTTTTAGAGGACAATTACTCCTCGTCGCCCCCCTGTTGTTTCAAAGAATAGTACAACAGCGAACGCGACAAGTATAAAAGCCTCGTCCGTTTGGGAAGGTGGCAAGGTGCACGCGCAGTCAGCAGAGGCTCGCGAAGCGGAGCTAGGCGAAAGTATAAATCCCGCTTTACACGGCGGAATTTGCAAGTGCAAATACTGGGTTGCGTTCAGCCCCGACAAAATGGTGCAAACCGCTTTTTAAATGGAAACGGTGGTGCGTTGAACACCCTGTTCTGATGACGCAAGAGTTGCAACTATGGCAGCTGAGAAGGTCATTCTTTGTGTTCTTTTTGAAGAATTTTCGGAGCCTGATGAAATCTGTATAAATATGTGTTTAATACTGCAAAATACGCTCGATGTAACAGTCACTGCCCTTGCCGTCCAGAATAAAAGAGAATATCTCAATCGAGTGAAGGGATTTGTTGAAACTGTGGTTCCTAATTATTGTGATCCAACATTTGCCTCGCATTTCAGGATGAAAAGACAAACATTTCAGGTGAAGGATAATCCACTTCTTACCTCCGAGACTGTGTT